TACAGTTAGATCAGATGAAAAGAGATTGCTTTATTATTTATTGTAGGAAGAGGAGTAGTCAGAACATCTTATAGGATATTAGTAGAACCTGCTAAATTATCATAATTAAATGATCCCCAAATGATAGTAAGTGCCCACTGGAGGACTTAACATTGTAGGATTAAATCTGAAGTGACATTCGATATTTAGCCTCAGAGAATGTTAATTGCCAGATAAATTGTTCCTGATAAAATAGAAAGCTACTTACTAGGTCAAAGTCACATAGACATTAGTTTGAAAGTATTTGATTGGTAAAATTTGTCATATACGTATATGTTCATGGGTGTTATTGCAAAAGGATTGCATGGTTCACAACATACATTACAGCAGTAATAAATTATACCCACCTGACATTTATGTTGTTCCTTACTTCAACCAAACAGCCTTGTGCATAAACCACTTCTCTGTTGCTGTCAGGGATAAGTTTTTTACCTAATACTGCTTTTAGCAGTTTTGTTCTTTCATGGCAACCATCCCCTTTGGGCAGTTGCCCAGATTCCCAGTTTACAAAGATATTTTCTCATATCTCTTGTATGCTAGTTGCTGCCTTCCTTTTTTAGGATGGTAGGATTATGTAATTGTGGATTCCCAAGTCTAATGTCACCTCTAGAGAGTCATACTTGCCTAAGTGGGGCCTTCTATAGCTTTTTCTCCATTAACCCACTGTTGCTTCAGGGTGTCTTATTGTCTAGAATTGTCACTGACGTGGCATATATTGATGTTCTATTTTAGAAAGGATAATCAGTTTAGCTTGAACATTACTGTTTGTGTTCTACACATAAAATAAATTTAATCACCACCTACTCTTAGCTGAATACTCAGAAGACCTCTCTGGGTTTTCACAGATTCAGACTTCCATATTTATACAAGAGTTCGTGGAACAATTATTGTGTTCTATGTTGGCTAAGACTCAAGAATACTGTTAATGTATCTGTGTCTGAGAAAAGAATGGTTCAACCATGGTTTTTATTTTTTAAGCATCTCCTGCCAAGTATGATATATGAATGACTTAATGGCAGCTGGGCTGTTGTGGATTTTGACCACACAGGGATTTTGACAGTTCTCACGGGGTCATTCAATTGGTCAGTCTGGTGGATGGAGTCAGATACAGGTCATATGTGTAAGTTACAAGTAATTAGTTTATCAACAGTGAAGGTTTTTTTTTTCCCCCCTTAAAACACAATAACAACAACAACAAAAAGCTAATTAGAATGAAAAATACTTTTTCTTTCAAAACTTGCCAGCATTAAAAGAAAATTGATATTTGAGAATGCAGTGCACATCTACACAGAATTCCAGTGACTTTAAAGTGCAGTATGGTCTGAGTGATTAAGGGACTCATGATTTATTCATCATTTAATTTAACCTTCTGTAACATTGTTCTGAATTAGCTTGCTTGAACAAAAAGATGTCTTAAAAATAATAATTAAATCCAGATTAACATTTCTAATTATAGCAAATTCATGGAACTTTAGTATGTTGCTTAGATAAGAACTACTTTTGTTAACAATGGCCCCTCATCTGTAGTCTGGCTTGGAGCAAATATAGCTTTCAAGCTTGGGCTTCTGTATGGTCTCCCACTACCCTTTGCAGTGCCATTCTCTTTTTCTTTAGATACCTACCCGTTGCAGCCCACTACCCCGTTAGCCTGTTTAACTTCACGAAGAGTAGCTACATTCCTCTCATTGCTCACTAGAGGGCATGTTTTTCAATGCTTTATTCATTTTGGCGTGTCTGTATCACGGCCCAGTTTCTAATCCTGCTTGAAGAATGCTTACCAGATTCAGGTGGCACAGAGGTAATTTAACTTCTTCATTCATTCATTCATTCATTCAGAGTTTCCCTGACTTTTTATAAAGTTCATCAACTTTATTAGATGCAGCTTCTCAGTGGAAGCTCAGACTGGGCTGATTTTTCTCCTTCATTTCCAAGTCATCTTCACAGCTGCCACTGTTTACATCTTGTATATATGCCTAATGTTCTTGGTTTTAAATCTATGTCTTTATATTTTTTATGATTAAGCCAGTGACTGACTTAGATCCCAACCTATTTTCTGCATTATTTCCCACACATCATTGTGACATCTGAATAATTATTTCTGGTTTTTCCATGTAATTCTTGAAAAAATTTTCTACAGTGAAGAAGTAAACCACAGGACATTCCTTTGGAAACACTTCAGTTCAGTTCATTGCCACTCTGCCATTGCATACTGAGATGTGTAATTTAAAAGATATTAATTCAGTTAATCTGGTGCATGTCTTTATGAATAAAATGTCTCATAGATGTCTGTTTCATCAAAACTATTATTGTTATGAACTAAACTGATAATGTTACCTAAAAGGCCAGCATTTTGATAAGGTTTTCTATGAATTACAGATGATGTGTATTATTATATTTGAGGCATAAAGTGGCATTAATTAAGGTTTGTGTTAGCTGTTTTGTTATAGAATGCAAAGTACATGTCAGGCTGACAGATCATTTAATGCTTTAAACTATGGACTCTCAATTTTCTTTTTCGTGATTGTTTTTTGAAGCTTCCTAAGCTTCACTGAAATCAGAGCTAATATTCCATATAGCAATAATTTTTTTGGCCAGTTTTTTATACAAAGTTTTAGGATTTTTTAATATGTAGTATTCATGTTCGGGTATTTAAAAATATGTTAGCATTGTTGGGCAGAATATATCTCTTCTCAGGGTGGGCTAATAAAATAACCCTTGGCAACAATACTAGTGAAGTAATTTTTTTAGCTTTCTTTTTTACTTTCTCTCTTTAGCTTTTGTGCAGGTCACTTAGCTTCAGTGCAATCTGAAATTTCATATGAGGGGATGGGGAAAAATAGAGCTAATAAAAAGAGAGAGCTTAAAAGGGGCTTGAGAATAGGTGCAATAAGTGTGGAGAACAAAGCATTTTGGCATCCAGAATATTGCAGAACAAGGAATGTGTTACAGAAAAATGCATTGAGACAATTGAGCTCTGCTTTTTTTTTTTTTTTTTTCCTTTTTTTCAATTTTTTACCAACAGTCAAAGCAATCTGCAGTAACACAGTGTGCAGCCACATGAAATGATGGCAAAAGGAAAGACATAGACATGTTGGAGCAGGTCCACAGAAATGATCAGAGGGCTGGAGCACCTCTCCTATGAGGAAAAGCTGAGAGTTGGAGCTGTTCAGCCTGGAGAAGACTCCAGGGAGGCTTTATAGTGTCTTTCCAGTACTTGAAGGGGGCCTACAGAAACATGGGAACAAGATATACAAGGGCATGTAGTGATAGGATGAGGGGTAATGGCTTTAAACTAAAGGACATTAGATTTAGTCTAGAAATAAGAAATAATTTTTTTTATTAGGGTGGTGAAGTACTGGCAAAGGTTGCCCAGAGAGCCGGTAGATGCCTCATTCCTGGAAAAATTCAAGGGCAGGTTGGATGGGGCTCTGAGCAACCTGATCTAGTAGAAGATATCCCTGCAGGGGGATTGGACTAGATCACCTTTAAAGGTCCCTTCCAACGCAAACTGTTCTATAATTTTATGTTTCAATAACTGACTTGTAATGCACTGACTGCAAACCTCAGACACCTCAGACTTTTTTCCCTGTGTTGCTGTGGGACTTTTCAACCATGGATAAAAACACTATACAAATATGTGTTGTTATACAAAGGCAATACTTAATAGAATACATGGTGGTTATTGCTTACTCTCCATATATAGACAGCAGTTTCTTTCTGTCAGTTTTATTCTTAAGTGCTGTAATCAGTGCTTTGTAGTGAAGAATACTGCTCTTTTAAGCTTCAGCTCTATTGCTCTATTGTTTGGTGACTCAGGGAAATGTCATTCCATCAGTCTGTGAAATCTGAAATGAAAGTCATTTTTGCATTTGGCAATAAAGAAAAATAGAAGAAAATACTTTTTTTTTTTTTTTTAATTGTTGCCTCTTTCATAAAAGTAGCAGGTAAAATAACTGTCTAAATTCACTCCTAAGGATTGATAGATGAGTTTCATTTCAAATGTGTCAAAGCTGTTTCCTTTTTTTGAATGATTCTTTATGAATCAGCTGATTAACTCTCTCAAATGTTTTTATTAAAAATAATTATATCACCACCTCTTTTGCAGCACATGACAATATTTTCTAAATGATTGGGAACTGTGTTTCTATTTAATACCACAACATTTAACTTTACAAATGTGTCTTTCTTGTTAAGATATTACTTGAGAGTATATCAGGTACATCACTCAAAACTGATGCAGTATATACCTCTAGTGAGGACACAACACAGAAGCAAAATCACTTCCTTTTACTGGGCTGACAGGGCCTGTAGCCTGTATTCTGAAAATTACTATGAAAACACAATTATGGCAAAGTTCAATAAATTATTTCACAAGTAGTACTGAGTAAAGAGAAATAAGGTCTGTTTTAATCGAACTCCTACATATTTTATTTTAGGAAGTTTATGCTCATTTCCAAGCATAACTTACGTTAGGATCTAACAAATTGTAGGATGCCATCTCTTTTCCACTTGTATCTTTGGATTGAAAGTAATGCTCATGAAATGTGAGAATCTCAAATAGTGAATCATATAACCTGTTCCATGAAATGAACACAAGACCACTGTCCTTACGCTTTCACGTCTATATTTTAGTATTGCTATAAGCAATTTTGCATTTACTGTTATAGCATTATTTGAGAAAGGCAGTTCTCACCAGGCTCTTGCCCTGCTCTTGGGGCAGGGTGCAGCCAGGACACAACCAGGGTGGGTAGAAAGTGTGGACTGTTCTGTGGGATGGAGCCACAGTGGACCTAATAAGAGTCAAAACTCAGCCTGAAATATAAAGAGAACAAACGTTTGTTTTATTGCTTTTTCTTTTTGGTTGTCCAGCTCCAATGCACTTTCAAACCTGATTAATATGTATGATGTTGTTCCACTTTCAAACCTGGAGTGTTTTTACTCTCTCTTATTTATTCTTTCAGGATTTGTGGATCTAACACTCCATGATCAGGTCCATCTACTGGAATGTGCGTGGTTAGAGATACTGATGATTGGCTTAGTCTGGCGCTCCATGGAACACCCAGGAAAGCTTTTATTTGCACCTAACCTACTACTGGACAGGTCAGTTTGCACGTTGCTGTGAATTACTTAAGTTAATGTATTTCTACCACAATCAGATTGATTTTTACCTTGCAGTCATCTCTCTGATACTACAATATGACACTACATCTTAAATGAAACAGGGTTATAGTAGGTGGGACTGGAAAAGGAACTCTAAAAAAACCTAGAAATGCGCTGGAATATTATGCTAGTCATTTATGAGACAAACAATACATGTGAAAGTTGCCTGCTGCTGAAAGTGCTTTCTTTCAGAGGCAGCAGAAATTTTCGCTTTTAATCTGTACAGTTTGTTGCAAAACTAAATTAAATTAAAATTAAATATTGAACAATAATACCTTTAATTCAGGTAATTATATGTGCTTGTATAAAATCCTCTAGTTAGTCTTCATTAGAATTAGTTTGCCCAAGAAGGCAAGACATATTTTTGGAAGAAAATCCTGGTAAAGTCTCTTATTTGCATAGAATACGTTAAGGTTTTGATTTTATTTCTCCTGAAAACTGCTAATATGCTGTAGGTGTTTCTAAGTGATGGAAAAAAATGTTCATTTCTGCCTTACCACATTCTGCATTTCAACAGGCAGTCTTCACCAATAAAAGTATGAGTATTGGCAGTTTTAAAAAATGCATTCTTATCTTAACGCAAACTCAAGGTCTCTTTATCCCAGTCAATTAAATATTTCAGCCTTGGGAAAGCATGTTAAAAAAGAGTAACCAGTGGTCAGAGGATTTTGCAAATGACTGTGGGAATTCTAGAAAGAGTTGATTAAAGAGTTATCTTGCTAGGCCTCTTTTCTTGAAGACTATTGCCCACATAGCAGATTTGGCAAGAGAGAGCTTGTGTGTACACACCGCTCACTTCAGTGCAGAGTTGGCTTCTTGGTTTAAATTGAAGGTGGAGAAAGAGCTGAGCTGAGGGGCCAGAGTACATGGTGGGCCAGCTGGGCAAGCTTCTCATGTTGTCTTGCAGCTTCAGGGGTAGTGAGTTGCAGTAGAGGGATAGCAACGTGAAGTCAAGGGCAATGCCTTCAGCTACTGCAACCATTAGCTGGGTGAATGAATCAAAAGTCTTACTAGCAGAAAAATGTCTTTTGAGCACCTCACTCTGTTGACTGTGGGATACTGAATTTTCATTTTTGCATTTCTGTAGTGTTAATCCTTTGATGTTCTGCCCCCCTCCCCCATACTACTTTTTTGTATTTTAGCAAAATATAAATGTTAATGCCTAATAGTATAAAATGTAATATTTCATAGGAACAGAGAAGTATTCATTACTTTAGGAAAAACCCTATTTCACTTGTGTAAGCACATTATCTGTGAGCTATGGAACTCAATTCTTATAAAACATTCTCATTCTGTAAGAAAAAATAATTTCTTAGTGCACATAAAAGTAAAATTTACTACTGTAGAATAGTAAGTGCAGCATATTACTGAAAATTACTATAAATTGCAATAGATCTTCCAAAGACCAACACATCTGTTCCACATTCTGTAATACAGGTTATGAGAAAACACTGAAAACTGAAGAGCAGAGCCAGAGTACCTTTCCCCCTCCCTTTAGCTAAGAAAAAGAGCTAGGAAAACACTTGAAACTTTGTTGTACCTCAAATAAAAATCACCCTGCTCTGAATAAAATGGAGTCTGAGCAGTTGATTCACACAGCTTAAATCAGCTCTTCTGGAACAAAGAAAACAGTTGCATGCAACTAGAACTACATATTTCTTTGGGGCTCAAAAATCAATTAACTTCACAACCAGAGCAGCTTTTTGTTTTCTGACTTTCAAACAAGACTGTTTCTAAAAACATAGATCTATTACATCATCTCATTTTTGAATAGTAAGAAACGTTTCTAAAGTATCATATACTTGTCTCATACTACTAGTTAGGGATATTTGCTGAAACCAAACAAAAAATTACTTGACTGAGGAGCACTGACATGCTAATTTGTTAACTAACTGTTGATTTACTAGTTAATTAGTGCTAGCAACAGCTTGTTTTGCTAATTTGATTTAGACAAGTTTTGAGAATGTTATGGGGCAAAAGTACACTTTTTGTCAAATCTGAGAGGGTAGGACAGAGACTGATTCAAAGCCTGCTTCACACTCAGTGGAGTTCTTCCACTGCATCAAGTATTTGGGCAAACATCAAGAGTGCAAATATTGTTTGATGCACTACTGTTGTTGATCTAAGTAGTAAAATAATGAATGAGTCTGATTGAATGCCTAAAATAATGGAAAAGACGTGTGCTGTAGTACAATTTCCTTTCATCTGTTCTTCTCTGTGTACCCTTCAGCATTTTCTTTTACAGGACACTTTCCCAATGTTTTAATCCACAGCATTCTTTCCAGAATCCTGATCACACTTTCCCTGTTATCTGATCTGTGCAGTAACAGCATTTAGCTACTGTCTGTATTCCAAAGTGACTGACTAGAGATGGCAAAACCCAGATCTCTCTCTAACCTGGATATAGTACAAATTCAGTATTGTTAACATGGAGAGTGACCACATTTTGTATATGCCTCTAGCTCTCTCTGATCATTCTGTGGCAGGCATCCTCTCTGATTTGCACATCCCCTTAATTTTTCACATTTAGGCTTCTCCTGCCTCTAACAGATTATTTCTATCTGGAATCTTGGAGACAGATAGTAATTTGTATACATTTGTATGTAAAGCCCTGGTCATGTCAGGTTTTATTATGCAACTTTTTTTTTTACCTTTTGGTTAGACAAATTCAGTCTTGTCTTGTCCAAATTGCAATAAAAATGACATTCCAACTGCTCTTTTTTTGAACAAATCTATTTTCTCTTCTCCCAGCTCAGTCCTCCTACTTGGGTCTTTTTAAACATGAGCTTATCTTGACTCTGAAGATCTTTTAGAGACTGTATTTTCTCAATCTGTGAGAATCTACTCATTATATTTTGAAATCAATAGCTTTAAAATTTTCCTGTGTAACGATTAACATTTGGAAGACTCCTTGAAAACATCTGTAAAGCAGGCCTTTGTTATTAATTTTAAGTTCCTTCTTTAAATTTTGCTTTGCCTATTAAAAAAAATAATCATACAATGATTAAGCTGCCATTATGTGTAGACTACTGCCTTCTTATGAATTAATATAATCACATTATCCCTTTTTATATCCCCTCTGCCCTGTAGTTAGGTAGGCTATTCTGTGGGATAATGCACTCTTTCTTATTCCATTAACACACCACCTAAACACATGAGTCTTAGCTCAAAATCAGGACTTTTAGCAGTCTGCCAGTTACATGCAACGGGTACATTTTTACAGTGTACAACCAATGCTATTAAAAAAAGCTCAGATTACCATAATTATAGATTAGAAAAATAGACCCAATCAGAAAATAGAATGGCACTCTCACAGTGCTTGCAGTTAAAGTACAGTACCTTCTGCAATTAAAGAAATTCCAGGATAAATACAAATATTTTATGTATGTTCTGTTTTTGAAAATTGGTATCTTTTATAAAGCAAATTTGAAATTAAAGACTTAGATTTCTATTGGGACAAACCAGATGTTTTCTGTCTGGAAGGTTCCCAAGCAACTAGACCTTAAAAATGTCATTAGACCAGGGCTGAAATTTGTCAGGCCTGACAAAGGACCATTTACAATATTGAAGAAAATGTAATGTTTTTTCAGGAATAAGAAAGTAATGTTTTATTGTACTTTTAAAGGATTTGTTGCATTCAAATATTGTGCTGATCAGAGGTTACTCAAAGGTTTGAAATGTCATTGTAAAGAAACTCATGGTAGAAATAACTGAATTGCTGGCTGAGGTTGATGACTTCTCACCTGAAATATCCTCAGTATCAGCAAAATGGGAACCACGGAGCTGCATTTTAAAAAGGTGAGAGAAACTTCTGCCCAATAAGCCTGGCGACAATTGCAAGGAAAGTGATGGGTTGTCATCTAACAATGACAGTCATTTGAGGTGTAAATAAACATGGCATAGTGATGAAGAGTCACCATGCATTTTGTGAGGGGAAGCCATGTGTCATGAATGCATTGGAGTGTTCTGAGGAATTTAACAAGCAAGTGGATGAGGGAGATCTTGTTTGATTTTCAAAAAGTATCACAGATCTTTTTTGTAGACAAATATGAGCTGGTGCATATAGGAGAATAATAATCTAATCTCCTAACTGCCTTCTGAGTTGATCTTTGCATCTTGTTGTTCACGGTAGCCAGTTCCATGGAACCAGCAGTTGTTTACTCACTAGCAGTTGAAAAGTGAATAGATTACAGATTTCCCACCAGGAAATGTTACAATAGGAAAAAGAAATAGTACAGGACATTGTTATTCCATTGTTTAAATCTGTGCTGCATATGGGTGGGGAGAAACATAATGAAATTCAACAAGGGGAAGTGTAGAGTTTTGCATTTGGGGAAGAACAACCCCATGTCCCAGTACAGGTTGGGGACTGAACTGCTGGAGAGTAGTGTAGGTGAAAGAGACCTGGGGGTCCTGGTGGACAGGAGGATGACCATGAGCCAGCAATGTGCCCTTGTGGCCAAGAAGGCCAAGAAGGTCAATGGCATCCTGGGGTGCATTAGAAAGGGTGTGGTTAGTCGGTCAAGAGAGGTTCTCCTCCCCCTCTATTCTGCATTGGTGAGGCCACATCTGGAGTATTGTGTCCAGTTCTGGGCCCCTCAGTTCAGGAAGCTCAGGGAACTGCTTGAAAGAGTCCAGCGCAGAGCTACTAAGATGATTAAGGGAGTGGAACATCTCCCTTATGAGGAAAGGCTAAGGGAGCTGGGTCTCTTTAGCTTGGAGACAAGGAGACTGAGGGGTGACCTCATCAATGTTTACAAATATGTAGGGGATGAGTGTCAGGGAGATGGAGTTAGGCTTTTCTCAGTGATGACCAGTGATAGGACAAGGGGTAATTGGTGCAAATTGGAGCATAGGAGGTTCAAGGTGAATATCCAATTTTTTTTTTTTTTACTGTGAGAGTGACAGAGCACTGGAACAGACTGCCCAGAGAGGTTGTG